TCCCACGAGGACATCCCTTGACCTGATGCCCGGCTGGTGCTGTTTGTTGCTGGTTCCCAACGCTTCAGCGCAGCATTGTTTAAACGCAAAGGGGAGGAGGTGGGTGGGAATATATAAACTTAGGTGGATGGGGGGGGGGGGGCATGACACAGTCAAGTTCTACAAATGTGAAAATTACTAAACAGGGTGAAGGGGGTTGAGCCATTAGCGCCATCCAGCACCCCCACTACAGTCCAACGACGAATGTCACTGCCAAGGTCCTCTGCTGAAAACTTAGCCCCACAGCAGCCTCGAGCATGGTAGTCACCCATGCGGGCGCGATCCTGGTTCAACCGCGATACGCGATGAGATCGGGTGCATTACATTCAGTTTTCGGACAATAACAACAACAATAACATCAACAGAACATGGTCCCACACCTGTCAACCCACACGGTTTAGCCGTATTGTTGCACAGGGAAATTGAGTTTTCAGGTCCATACGGCGTACGGCCGTTTCACTACGGGCACAGCAAGTGTCCATTTGTTTGTGTTTCTCCCTTGTGATGGGACTGTAGGATGAACGTTGAGATTTGTAAGGGCACGGGGTGACCGATAAGGTCTGAATTGGTCTGTAATAAGGTAGGGCACTGACACAAGGGCTTGACAGGCGTGTGGTCGACACCGGTCCTCAGGGTAATGATGCGCACGGCGTGGCGTTGATGTGGTGTGCAAGTGTCCTGGAAACTCTTCCGCACGTGCCCTTCCTGACGTTCGCGCTAAAGGTCACCATCGTATTGGAGAACAACGAGCGGGTGCTTTCCATTTAATATTCGCATTTGCAACAACAACAAACAACAACAAGCAACAAAAAGCCGATGCGGTCGGATCGGCTCGGGGGGGGACAATCTTGGGAGTCACCGCTCGCAGCCGCCGGTCGCTCGGAGCCCCCGGTGGCTCCAGCTCCGGATTTTGAGCCGCCCGTAACTTAAACCGGATCCTGCAATGCGACGAGCTGATTGGGTCAGCCCCTGTCACCGATGGCTGCACACGAACCCCCCCACACCCCCACCGTATCAGAGTTGGTCTCTCCCACTTCATTTGGCTAAAATCCAGCTGTGAGAAATGACAAAGATTTGAAGCTTTCGTGACTGCAAGGATTCATACTCTTTGGTTTTATTCGGTAAAGTCACGTAGATAAAATAAAACAAAATACAATAATTAAATCACGTTTCGGAGGCAACACAAGCCTCCGTCTTCAGTGCGAAGTGGTGGTCACCCGCAGCAGCCTATCAAAAGGCTGCTTAACCCAGCCCTCCCACCCACCCACGCCCCCTTACTGACTCCTCCCCCCTCCCTTAACCTGTATATAATCCCGGTCGTCTCTGAACTGTGCTCCTGACACAGATATTCTGCGTTGGCTTTTCCACCTGAAGACGGAGGCTTGTGTTGCCTCCAAAACGTCGCAATTTAATTATTTTCTTTTATTTTGTTTTGTTTTTTTATCTACGTGACTTTACCGAATAAAACCAAAGAGTAGGAATGACAAAGGTTTTGGGTTGACCGACACGCGAGGAACACATCTCTACAGGGGCTCTTGCATCGTGACTGTTTTGTTGTTTGTGCTCTTTTTGCTTTGGTGCCATTTATTTATTTGTTTATTAATTTTGATGATGCTTGGCGGTAGTGTGCGTGCGTGCATCTTGGGCTTCATTCGCGTATATGGGATTTGGTCGTTTACACATATATAGTGAATGTACAGCGTCGTGGGATGATTTTGGCATGAATTACTGCGATATGAAATTAAATGGAGTATTATGAAAATTTAATTAAGTATTTTTTTTTGCTATTTTTAAATGTGACACCATCCTGCCTGGATCAGCACTTCGTCTCATCGGCCTCGCCAGACACGTGCTCCGCAGGGGACACAGGCGGCCTCTTTCAGCACTCCAGGGGGGCCGCGACGGCCGTCTTCGGCCCTCCAAGGGGGCTGAGGGGGCCCAATAGGCAGCCTACGGCGCTCCAGGGAGGCTGCGGGCACCCTAAAGGTCTGCAATGGCCCTCTCGAAAAGGTTGCGAGTTCAAATTCTGACTGGGGAGATAGACTCAGCCTGTCCATCATCATCATTCCTGCAGGGTCGATAAAATCGTTGTGACTAACACTTCTTGGGGAAGTCGACAGCGGTTGTCCTTGGGCATAGCCTCGCCCCTGCCGTAGGAATGTGGAATTTCCATCACCTGCTCAAGGCTGTTCCGCTACCAACGCTCATTTGAGCAGAAAATCTAAAATCACTTTTGGCTTTTTTGGTGCCAGGGGCGGGGGGGGGGGACGACGACCCCGAGCTGAGAGTTGGGATTCATGCGGCCGTGACCAATCCCCCCACCCCCCACCATACGCCGATCGCCACAAATACAAATGCACGTCTCTGCAACCCCCCCCCCCCCCCCTAATCCCGGCCAAACGTTAGCGCTTGACTGCCGGAGTGAGACCGGCGCCGTGGCGGAAAGGGGGGGGGGGGGGGGGCAGTGTGGAGGAAGGGGGTGGGGGGGTTCGTGTAGAAAATCTCAGGACAACCGGCGAGCTGCCGACTGATGTCCTGCCAACTTCCAGCCCCTGTGAGCTCCCCTCGCCTCGTCCTGGGTCTAGGGATATTGAAGCCTTCGCTTTGTAACATCTTGGGGAAATGGGGGCGGGGGGGGGTGGGGAGCGGCGAGCGTCTCCGAGTAACGCGTGCGAGTTCACACGCGCGCGTCGTTAACCCCGCTTGTACGCGGCTGCTCGCGGGTGTCGTGTTCGGGTCCATGGGATGGGGGAATAAAAACGCGAGGCTGGCCGGAGGTGGTCGTGATCCGTCGAGCGGGGGGCACGAGGGGGGGAGGGCACAGGGGGGCACGGGGGGGGGGGTACGGGGGAAGCGGGCGGGGGTATCTTGGAGGGGGGGGGGGGGGTCCAAGCCTCGCCGTGGCCAAACGTTTCCTCTCGCGAAGCCACAAGAGGTCAGGGTGATCTCCTGCGGCTGAAATGAGCATTGAGACGTTATCGGTGCCCAACTGCCGTTGACATCCCTGCGGAGCAACGCGGTGGGAAATGCCACATTCCGATGGCAGCGGTGAGTACGTACGGATGTGTGTTGAACTTCGTTCGCACCGTACGTAGCCAACCCGTGTCAGTCGGAGGTGCGGTGAGCATATCCATAGAACAAACGCCGTTGACTCTCCCCCCCCCGCCCCCGTCCCCACAAAGTGGTACCCATTTTATCTACCCACCTCGAGGTACGATGGGCTGGAGTCGAATCCCAACGTGGCATTGCGAGGAGGCGCTCGCTCCACCGCGAGGCCATCCCCGGCCGGATTTCCCGCAACGGGGGGCAGCGCACGTGCTGTCCGCGGCGCCTCGCCGGTTCTATCTCCTGGCGTGGCAGTTGAAGCAATGGGGCACGTTTATCTTACATCTCCCCCACCCACCCACCCACCCGTCCACTGAGCAGTAGAAATTGGTGCCACCACAGTTAGTCGATCGGCGGGTCCACGCGCCGGCGGGATCAAGTCTGGGTGCTCTGAACCTCTTCCAAGACGTCTGGCCCGCGTGGAAGAGTAGGCCGAATACCCTCTAGAAAGGGGTTGCCTCGAAGAGCGCGCCTCGAGTGGAGGCCCTTTCGTCAGCAGCGATTGCAGGGCTGCGCCTTTATCCCTTACTGTGAGCAGGAAGCGCCGTTCCGTTATGAGCTACTTTGTGTTGTGTGGGAAGGAGGTGAGGGTGCTCGGCTATTTTGAGATTGTGCAGTCGCCCTGTCAAGAGCTTATTTTAAGAGGCAGTACAGCAATAAGGGGGGGGGGGGGCGGTGGGAGCGGTGGCGCATCGGTTAGAGCACTGTGCTGTATGAACGGGAGCGACTCGAGGAGTCCCAGACGCGGCTGACATCAGTGGGTGGCGAGTGAAATTTAAAAAAAGAAAAAAAACTGTCTTGGTGTCTACCCGACTTGAAGCAATCTGTACCGACCAGCGTGGTGAAGTATGGTCAAAAGCACCCCCCCCAGCCCCCACGACCGACATGGGATCGGGAGGCTTTTTAATCCAGCGCGAGGTGGCTGCGAAATTATCTTAGCGGATTCATGAAAGTGAGCCCTCGTCCAAATCGCCTCTCCTCTGGGGCGCGGCAGTTCTTCCCCCGACATTCGATTGGCGCTTTCCAGGGTAAATAAATGACTGAATTTGTTTTTTATTTAAGTGCAAAATGCACTTGGAAGGGGTTTAAATATCTTGCATAACGACTGATATCAACAAAAGGAAATCAAGACCAAATATTTTCCGGCAACATTTCAGGCACAAAATCTGGCACCGGCTTTGACTTTCTGAGTTTAATCAGTCGAGGTGTGGTCTATTAAAACAAACGCTGTTGGACAAGCCATGTGTTTAGATTAGTCGCTACTCCACACTTTTTGCCCCACAATGCACGCGAACATGGATGGAAGGCGTGTCAATAATTCCCTTCATTGTCGCCAGAAAAGCCTCACCGAGTCTCAAGAATGTATTTTTCAGGAGGCATCTGCTCCCCGTGGCCCAATTCCATTAATGAGTTGCACGTGGGTGGAAACCAGAGGACGGGGAAAAAAAGCCACCCGCGCGCACGAGAGGATGTCACTCAAAGCCGCGCACAGATAGATTCAATGATCCGTTGCCTCTCGTGACCACCTTGCAGCCCATGCACGATGGTGTGTATGGTATTCCCAACGAGTCTCCCATCCACATGCTTAACCCATCTGCTTCGCTCCTGAGATTGTCTGGCGCGCATTGAGCGCGATTTGAGTTGTACGACTTCTCACTTTTCAGAGTTAACAACAACAACACAAATCAAGCCCCCTCGCCGTGCCGCCTCCCACCTCACTTGTCTCTCCCTCTCTGTTCTCTGATGCACAGTTGCCCCCACTCTTCCTCCCGACTCTCCCCTTGTCTCCTCCCCTAGTCCCCCCCCCCCTCTCTATTCCACACCCCCACCCACCCTCCAACACACACACACGCGAGCGTCATCACCATCATCACAGAGGGGAAGGGAGGAGGGGCGTAGGAGCTATTCGCGAGCGACCCTGAAGATCCGTGGAGCAAATCCGAGCGCCCGCGTCTGGCAAAGGACGCGCGCCTGTGACCGCCGCCGCCGCCGCTGCCACCACTCATCACAAACCTCCTCGAACGCCCCGGAGTACTGCGCATTGTTACAGTCGAGCGCGACTCAACCGATTTCCCGAAGAGAGGCTCTGACTTTTGTTTTTTTTGTTAATGAGTAAATAAATGCGGCGATAACCAGCCGCTTGCGCAAACTGAAGTCAGATTTCTCGTCCGTTCTTTAATTTGCGCCGCGAGTTATCTGCGTGTCACGCGAGCCACTGCTTCGTTCTTAGGCGTGTTTGCACTTATCTGTGTATAGTGTTTATTGGGTTGAGGCGTTTGTATTTGTTGTTTATGAAGGTAGGTGCATGCGACACGGACCGTGGGAAGTGCCCGCTAAATCTAATGCGGCTCTGACCCGGCTACCTGCTTGCAATCTTACATGACGTGAGTGAGACTGCGCGCTACGATTATGATGATGATGATGATGAAGGTGATACCTCGTCTCGGAGGTGTGGCGTTGTCATCTTCTACGCTGTCTCTTCTCGCTATCACGATGGTGACTTTACTTGCGCTTGGAGCAACACAGCCGAACACACAGCCCCGGAGGTCCCAACAGCATCATCATCAACACCAGCAACTGCAACAACAGCAACAGCAGCAACAGCAACTGCAGCAGCAGCGGACTCCTGTTCGGACCCCTCTTGTGGCGCAAAGACTTGGCCACCAATCAGCAGCATCAGCAGCAGGGGCATCTGCGGTGATGGTGGCACCCGTGCAAACGAGACTACGCGGTCAAGGGACTCGCTTTGGGCATCAGGGAGACGCTCACGGCGCCGCCACCACCACCACCACGAGTTCGGCTGGAGGCGTCGACGGCTATCAAGCCGGGAGGACGAGGACGCGAGCTGTCGAAGGTGGCGCTGCCGGTGGCCACGGGAAAGGAGCGGGAGGAGGAGGAGGAGGGGTGGTGGCCACCGGGCTCGGTGCGAACCCGCGATCAGGCGTGCCCGGCCCCGCCCGTACCCAGGCCAACTCAGCCACAGTGCTCACAGGGTAACTCATTACAACCCCACTGCCACCCCCTTCCCCACACGAACATTCTCCGTATTATAAGACGCGGCCGGAAAGTAAGACGCACCCCAAAAAACTTGTACCTGGTGTCAATAACGTTGTGCAAATATGGTCGTACGCACGCGCGCGCGCGCACGCACACACGCGCGAGCGCACCGGATTATAAGACGCACTCGAAACTTGCTTTAAATGGCGTGGAGGTAGAAGGCGGAGGGGGGAGCTGCGTCTTATAATCCGGAAAACGGTAATTAAAATATATTCATGTTTATTTTGTACACCACTTTGTCGGTCAACCCCTGCATTAAAGCCCCCCCCTCCCATCCCTCCTCCACTCCGTGGATATTTTTTGACCATACTTCACCACGCAGGTCGATGCGGGTTCATCAAGTTGGGCAGGAACAGCTCGATCGATTGATTATCATTCGCCACTGACGTTAGCCGTGCCAGGCCTCGTGAAACGGCACTCAGATAGCCGGGTTCATAGCGCGTTGCGCTCAGCCACGCCTGCGTAGCTTCGCCCCCGTTGACACTTCATATCGCGTGCGGGAAAGCCTTAGCGAGTCCGAAGACTTGTTTCTAAGGAGAGTCCCGCCCTGGGATAGTTGGTCAGTGCAAAATAATGAGCGATTTAATTTCCTTCGGGAGGAAAACAAACCCACCATCCGTAAGAGGTGGTGGGGGGGAGGGGTAACACTGAAAGCTCCGCACAGATGGAATGAGGAATCCACTCGCTGTTATTGCTCGAAATCTAATGTTGCCTGTTCCTGCAGCGTAAGAACAGGTAACATTAGATGTTTCCCACACAGCTCCATTGGGGGATAGAGCTATAAGAAACATTATACTCTAGAGTGGAGCGACGCTGCAGTGGTTGGCGTACTGCGCTATGAACCCGGATACACGCGTTCCATTCCCGACCACCACGGCTAACATCAGTGGCGCGTGATTCCTGAACCAGTCCCGAGCGCCCCTTGCCCCTTCGCCGACTCGCACTAACCAACGTGGTGAAGTATGGTCAAAACGACCCGTATGAGAACGACGCCGTAGGGAGGGAGGCCTTATACTAAAGAATGACTTTGTGAATGTACGCGCCACAATTAGTAAAACATGATTATGCAATGTGATCCACTTATAGATACCCAATGGAAGTAAGTATTTTTAAAAAACTATGTTTTATATGAAAGGCTCTGCACGTCTTTCGCAAATCTCACTGTGCTTAATTACCTATGTTAACACTTTCCGCTGCACGATACGAGGCCGTCGCTTGATGCACACCCGTTCAACCACCTGCGAAGAAGAGAGAGAGCATCACCGTGAATCAATGGGGCGTCGACAAATGGATCACCCTGCGTAATAGTCAAGGCAAAGGTGCAGGCCTGTTAAAAGGAGCAACTGGCCTTCTCTTCCACGCTCGGCCAGACCTCTCGGACGACGTGGGATGAACCACACTTTACCCCCGCCACACGCGACCTGTGTGCTCATATTCATATTTGCCGGGATTACAGAGGAAGGGGTGGGGTAGGCGAGGAGTTGGTGGGGATTTAGGAAACTTGCAACCATTGTTTAGACTGCCGAGGCGGGAGATAGAAAGAATCGGCAACCTCTGCATTGCATGCGCACCACGGCAGCATCCTATCTCAGAATCAGGATATTTCTCTAGACCGGAGGAATCCGATGAGCTAGGAAGCTCTTTCACAGATGTCTATTCGGGGTGGATCAGAACGTTACAACAACAATTAATAAACAAAAAAAACGATAGGAGTGCAAAGTATAAAAAAGTTAACAAATCACTTAACAAATATACAAACTACGTGGGTTTTTTTTTTATCTTACTAGCTAAAAACCTACTGAGCTATTTAGCTTATTTTTTAGAAGCGACCTAACCACCAATGATTGCTCAACGAAGTGGCTTATCACGTGGAAATGTACAGCAGCCGAATACTCAAAACGCGTGGTTCCGATTGCCCACAGAGGCCATTACCGATGTACTCTATTGGCAATCAGCACGGCCCAGATGAACGTGAGAATGAGCGGGCGAATGCGCTCCCCAGTCCGTACTTGTGGTCTTGCCCTTGGACGTGTTGGGCAATCCAGAATGTGTTGTGACCATATCGCGTGCCGCGGTTTCTGCAGACTCAATGTCTGCGGTGGTCAATGCTGCCCGGGTTGGAAGCTGAGTCCCGGACTTCAAAAATGCACCAAACGTGAGTACAACGCGAGCCAAGCCTGTGTGGCTGGGTCACTGCCGTCGCGCTTGATCAGTGCTCGAAGCCACCGATCCACTCCAATACACGTATAAAGACAAATATCCCCCCCCCGTATAGCCTCAACAGACTGTAGGGGAAAGTGCTGTTAGCGAGCAGCTATGAAGGCACACGAGGGGGTTGGTGGCCAGCACCACCCCCGGCACTAATTTGAGGCTGAGTCGACCTAGGGGAGGCCCAGGACCAGTTCAGATGATCGTCACTGGGTGTTGGCCGTGAGTAGGAAATCGAACTCGGATCGCCGGGTTCGTAGCGCAGCGGCGCTGATCGCTCCACTACCCCTCCCCACACACACACACACACGAATACAAAGACAAAGATCCCCCATATAGCCTTAACAGACTGTAGGGACAAGTGCTGTTAGCGAGCACTTATGAAGGCCGGAACGGTACACGAGGGGGTGGGTGGCCAGCACCACGCCCGACCGCCTTTGTCTCCCTAGTGACAATGTTTACACACCGTACCAGGTACTCATGTGAGGCTGAGTCGACCTAGGGGAGGCCCGGGACCGGTTCAGATAATCGTGACTGGTGTTGGCCGTGAGCGGGAATCGAACCCTGGTCGCCAGGTTCATAGCGCGCTGCGCTATGAACCTGGCTACACACACTATCGCTCCCCCGAATACACACACATACACACACCCCACACACCTAACCCCCCCCCACCCCAGTCGACAGCCCCCTTTCAAGGTCTCTCCCCGCAAACAGAATGCCCCTTTCTCCCCCTCCCCACTATCTGAGTAGTTTTTTGTTGTTTTAATGCTGATGAGCTCGGCAATCTGTAATAGACAAATGCATGCAATGCACGGGCACACAGAGAGCTGTGTTATTGGGGTTACACACAACCAGCAGCAATCATCGTCCCCCTACTGGCATCCAATTGCCCGCGCGCAGGCCAGGTGCCGAGTCACCTTGTGCAGCACAGGGACAGCTGCCACTGGGGGGAGTGGGGGGGGGTGCCCTTCAAATATCTTGAGATGAGCTGTGATGTACAGCCCTCCGCGGCGCTCTCAGTGCCATTCACTCCCTTTCTGTCCGTGCCGTCCAGCGCTGCCACACCACACCACACCGCGCCTCACCATCGCCTCGTTGCACCCAACACGTGGGCACATTGCAGACTTGACAACTGCCGTCTCCCCTCTGCTGTGGGTGAAACATCTCGCGCGCCAAACAGCGGCTTGGCTGCGGCCCCATCGCGTCGTGATGAGCGAGACGAGTCCCACTCTGTGCGAAGTCGGCAGCGGACGTTACATGGCACGGCTGCCCCTCCCCCCAACTGCCCCCGCCATGGGACTGTGGAATTTCCACCAAAAGCTCGCGACACTCAATGGAGATGGGCGTTACTCGCATTGGCCTCTTCGAGCGAGGAGAATGGGTTGTTTAACGTGGTGTGGGGTTTTCTTTGGCACTGGCTGTCTAATAAACTGTTAGAGTGTTAAATGGCCGAGATGTGTGCCAAAGCTGCTTCAGTAGCTGTGATGTACGTGTACAATGTAAATCGTGGAGGTTATTTGTCCATACTTCAACCACACTGGCGAATGTAGATTCACGAAAGCCGGCAGTATAGACGTTAGAGAGTAGTGCAGTCACGGAATGCGATTGTGCCGCCTGCTGACCGGGCAGTCCTTGCAACATTAGCCTACAACGTGTACATTTTGATTTAAAGCTTTCGTGACTGCAGGGATTCATATTCTTGGTTCTTTCGGTAAAGTCACGTAGAAGAGAAACAAGAAAATAATAAAAATATAAAAACAATAAAATTCTAACGTTAAAAAAACCCGCCACTTTTTTCAAATGTTCTTGCTGTGGTTTTCACACCTGATGATGATTGCTTGTGTTGCAGTCGAAACATCGTGAGACTTTTATTGTTGTATATTTTTATTATTTTATTGTTTCCCTTCTTACAGAAAGAACCAAGAATACATACAAAGTCTGTTTGTATAGCACTTGGATGTTCACTGGAAGTTCACCCATCCAAAAAATAAAGTTCGAATCCAGCGGTAGTGTTATCCAAGTAGTAGTCTTGAGCATCCAGGCCCGAATCCCCAGCTCAGCTCCAGAGCTCTGACATGATCGGGCGCATTCCGAGTAATTTGGTCATATGCACATTTGTGGTATTCTAAAAAAAAAACAACAGCCATGTGGGAGCCTATTAACGAGTGATCCTAGCTATGCCATGTGTTGTGTTTATACATCTGGCACTGTGGATAGGGGTGGGGTGGTGGTGGTGGGGGGGAGGATTGTGAGTGCAGTATGCGCCCAGGCCAGATTCATCGACTTGCAGATTCCAATTCCCCCAATTATCTCATTACGAATAATGCACGCGCAGAGCCCGCTTTGCCATTCTACTGCTGGATGAGGGTTCGCTGCACGCCGCGCGGGCCACGGTGGCGAGTTATTTTCCCGTTAACCTCCGCTGTCATAGACGTCTTCAAAGTCCACACATCGTGTCAGCGTGGCCACGTGGAATGCGCTGACCTCTGATGTAACACCGACCATTCGCGCGCTCCCACTTTGACGACTAAAGCCCACGCGATTTCCAAAATAACGTGAACGACGCAGACAGAGAGAGAGAGAGAGAGTTTCGCCGAAGCGAGACAATGTCACAGCAGTGCTCTGTTTCTCTCTCTTTGTCTCTGTCCCAGGTAACCTGCCAATTTGAGCCTTGTGCAATGATGTACTGTGCCGTGAGTGTACATACGGACAGCCGCATACTACACGCGTGGTCAACAGAGGGCATGTGAACTCACTTTAGAAGCATTTCCACTGATTTAATTCCCCGTGCACATGGGACGGGTCGCTTTAGAAAGCCGCGCTTGTTTGTAATTGTCAGGGTTGCCACCTGTCCTGGCTTTCCCAGGATTGTTATCTTGTTCTGTTGGAAGCTGTCCTCGGAAATTTGGAAAGCTTGGAACATTAACAGTAGCGGTCTTTGTCAGTACCGGTGTAATAATGCCCCCTGCCCCCCCACCACCCAAGACGATGCATTCGGCCCGGTGGTCCAGCAGCAGAAAGAGTGGACTCGCAATCATGAGATTGACATTTGAATCCTGGTTGGCGTTGACTTAACCCACCATCCATTCTTGGTCGATAAAATACCTACAAATCTGTTGCGAAGTAAATCGTAGTTGTCCCATGGATAGACTCAACCAAGCGCCGTGGGAATGTGGAATTTCTACCACTGGCTCAGGGCTGTAAGCTGGGAGATGAGCACTACTTCAATACTCTTTGATTTTGGATTCACTTTGACAAGACAGTGGATTTACGATTAGCTCCCAGCTCCTCTGAATTGTTGAGATTTGCTTCGCCTTCTTCCCGTGATATGTCCCGGTTTATTTCTATTTGGGAAGCCCTCTCGCAGGGATATCTCTCTCTCTCGTGGATTATAGGACGGACTTTGGTCTCTCCCTTGCGTTGCTTCGCTCCTGATATTCCTCCGTTCATCCCGTCGCGTCTTTTTTCTGCTCGTCACTCTTCTCCCTGTCTCTTCTTTATCCACTCATTCCTTCGATCTTTTTGTCCATGTCTCTTTCTATCCCCGCTCGCTCGCTCGCTCTCTGTCTCTCTCTCTCTCTCTGGCTCCCCACATTACATCTGACGATTGTCGCTATGATTACGTTCATAAGGCGCCGGTCATTTGGAAGACGCACACTTGCGGTTCCTTGTTTATTTCTCTCTCGTTCTACACGGCTGCTGGAAATATAAATACGAAACTCAACCCATAAATGTTGTACCAATGACGAAATGTGCAGTGGACACCTACGGGCCATCTGCCCGTGGATCGCGATGATTACGATGATGCCATCCCTAAATACAAGTTTGAGTCTGTGTGAGAAAGTAGGTGACTAATCATCACTGCCCCCCCCCCCCACCTTGCACCCCCCCCCCCCCCCACCACTGCACCCAGCCATCTGCACCCCTGCCTGCCAGAACGAGGGCATGTGCCTGCGACCACAGCTATGCCTCTGCAAGCCGGGCTTCGCCGGACAGGCGTGCGAGGTGGTGAGGGCTCCCGCGCAGTTGCAGCCGCACGGCGCCGTCAAGAAGCCGGCAGCCTCCCTGCTGCAGCCCGGCGATGGCCAGCAGCAGCAGCAGCAGCAGAGGCAGCAGCCGGAGCCAAACGGTGATGGTGGTGGCGTCCCAAGCGGCGTGGCTTCACTGAACCGGAACCCAAACCGCAGCCACGCAACGGCCGGGAGGCCACCGTGAGTGTCTGGGTCATTCTTATTCCTATTGTTGCCGTGATTAACGTTATTTAGTCATAATTTTTGGTTGGAAATGGAGTGTAAAAAAAAAAAACACGACGATTTTACCCGCCCCCGTGTCACTGGCTCCGTATCACAGCCTCTTGGAAATGAATTGAGGTTGGGCAGTGTGCACGGGGGGGGTGCGAGCGAGACGCACAGGTAGTGCATGGGCCATCCAGCCCGCTCCGCTAACCCATAACACCTGGTGCTCAGCCCACGGGCAACGAACATGTGCACACACGCAAACACATGCCGGCTTTGCACAAACACAAAAAAATGTCTGCTCAACACGGCTTTAGATCTTTTTTTTTACCCTCTTCTGTTTTTTAAACCCACTTATGATGTTTAATCCATCGTATCGATCTTGCAAGACATTCCTAGGAGAATAAACTCACTGTTGTACACCTACTCGAATGACAACGTGCGTTGGAGACTCTGCTAACGTCTTCCCAAGACGTCAACCTTTGGGCTCTCAGAGCCGTGACCTTAGGGAGGCTCGTTTATCAAATTGCATCATGGAGGTCACGGTGAAGGTCACCATGGAGAGGGATCCAGGAGGGAGACAGTAGTGGCCGTGTTAGTCGCGCTCTGCCACCTTGCAGCGGAACCAGCTGGCACGGTACCCAACATATTGTACGGGTAACGTACTGATTAATTTCTTACGCAGGTCAAAGGTTATAGGTGTCACATGGCCCATCATTAAAACCACAGGTTCCCTGGTTCCTTGCGGTTAGAATCACCCTCCATGCTCGTCTCTGTGCAAGAGGAATTACTCAAGTGAATGGCTGTGACCGACAGACCGACAGAGTATATTTTATACAAATCAGGGGATCTAGCCAAAGATGACAGGATAGGGAGGTGGGGGGAGTTTGGTTATCTTCAGAGAAGTAGGGGTGATAGGTCGAAGCGTACGCGGCGGAAAGGGAAAGGCGTCGGCAGTTTGGTAAAGGTGAGAATGAGGACACTAGAAAAAAGCGGGGGGGGGGGGGTGAGGGACAGGTCTTTGGTTCAACAAAGTCGAGTCATTGTTGCCTTCCGGCGAGAGCTTACGAGTCCCCGTAGAGTCGGGGCACAAGCCCTCTCCGTATATTGGGGGGGGCTCCCAGAGGCGCGTGGCAGCGGCCAACATCGATGACTGGTGGCACAGTCCTGGTGATGAGTGCCGACGACGTCGAAACAGGCCGCACGGCTGCGCGCGTGTCTTTGTTTCACTGCTGCCCGTCGCTGGGACGGCCCACGTCGACACAACGGCCACGCTGTTCAGTTCCTTTTGAGCTGGTGGTCTGGATAAGGCTGAGGGCATTAATACATATTTGTGTGTTGTTGATGCACCGAGTGAGTCATCGGTAGAGGGAGACGAGCCAGGACCCGAGCCAGAAGTCGCTGTGACCCCGGGGACTTGGGTTATGTGTTACTCTTATTATTCCTACTGCTACTTTGCGTGTTTGCCCAGGAATACCTCACAGAGTCTCAAGACTCTTTTTTTCAGGAGGGTCCTGCCAAGGTTTTGCAGTCAGGGAAAGCGGTGTTATCGCCGCGTGTGATCCCAATCGAGTGATTTGCGGGGTGGCTTTTAGCGTCGGGATGTGCTATCATCTTTTTTTTTATTCGCAATGGGAGGAAACCGGAGAATCCATGCAGAACAGGGGGAGATCATACAAACTCCACACCGAGAGGCACCCGATTTGGGAATCGTAGACGAGGCCCTTGCTGCTCCGAGTTCAAGTTCGTTTGTTAAATCGGCTGAGGACTCAAGAGGCCGGGCTGAGTGTCAGTCTGCGAAAGTAAAATTCGGTCATCGAAATTACAAAAGCAGTTCATACAATGAGATAAAGTACAGTGCAGCAAGTGGAAATCACAACAAAAACAACTGTGTCACGTGATGAGTCAAACATATTTCATAAATACGTATGAAATAAAAGTGAAATATTAAATTCCCCGTAGCACAAATCGGATCGGGGCAGGTACTTTATAGATTGATCATAGTACAAATTACAAAATTAGGGTTACGGAAACATTGGATATTGAGCAGCTATAGGGTGATTCATATGTAACCAGACAAGGCTTCGTGTCAATTGCTATTGAATTTGTCATTAGATGGGAGGCAGATGAACCGACATTTTTTTTGGAAGCGATGGCTTCATCGTTCGCACGGTGGCCGTGGGCAGCAGCAGCAGCAGCAGCGGGCAGCAGGGCAATCCACCCACATTCATCCTCGCTCGAGTGCGAACACGTGACCAGCCACGGGTGCTGCCCGCACCGTTGCGGGGACCATTGGCGCAGCAGTTAGCGCTCACGGCCACCAACCCCTTGGTCGACTCAGCCTTTAAATACGTAACTCGGTGTGGCGTGTTAACATCATCGCTGGCGAGACAAAGTGGCCGGGGGTGGTGTTAGCCTGGCCCTCGTGTGCCGTGCCCGCCTTCATAGGTGGACGCTGACAGCACGTGCTCTCAATCAGTTAAAGGCGCGGCCGCGTGTGTGTCTGTGTGGGTGCTTTCGCGAAAGGGAGAATGATTTGCGAGTGTGTGAGGGTTTGTGTGTCAGTGAGCGTATTTGTATGTATTCGTGTCGCTCTCTACTGTGCAGAGCCTTAGTGTAGTAGTTAGCGCGCTGCGCTACGAACCTCGGATCACGGTTTTAACATCGGTGACGAATTTCTGAGCCGGTGCTGCACCTCCTCTAGGTCGACTCAGCCTTAAAATGAGTACCTCGATGCGGTGTGTAAACATCAGGCGACTCGCGCGTGGTTGCTGGCCATCCACCCCGCTCCCTCGCGCGTCGTGTCGACCTTCATTGAAGCTCACGAACAGCACTTGTCCCAGCGGTCTCTTTAGAGGCTTTATGGGGATACTTTGTCATTGTTTGTGTTACAGTATTGTGAGCGTTGGGAAAGTGTTGTATTGCAAAGGCTGCCAACAGCTTTAGCTTTTCAGCAGCGCGTGTTTTACACCTCACCGGTGATTGATGTCGTAATTAACACACGTATGTGTGTGTGTATCTTGATGTGTGTGTGTGTGTATCTTGATGTGGGTGTGTGTGTGTTTGTACTGGGGGAGCGGTAGTGCAGTGGTTAGCGCGCTGCGCTACCAATCCAGCGGAGCCAAGTTTCATGCCCGCTCAATGAACAATTTCTGTTCAGCCTTACATGAGTATTTTGTGCTGTGTGTTTCGACATCAGCACTGGGGGAGACAACGTCGATCGGGCATGGTCCTAGCCACACTGCCCGTTTGTGCGCTGTGTCAACCTTCTTCGGTGCCCTCGACAGTACTTGTCCCTACAGCTTGTGTACGCCATACAGGGGATCTTTGTCTTCATATTCCTCGAGTAGTTTTGATGGTGCCTTTGGTGCAGTCTCATTGTAACCTCACGTAGAACTCATGCAATAATAGCTCTTACTTTGCGACTCGCAGATGGCAGTGAGGCGGTCGTTGCCCAGCTGTTAGTTATCTCGATTAAAGCGATTTTGCCTGCTCTCCAGGTCAAGTCACTCTCTCTCTCTCTCCTCTGTTGTCATCACATGGCGGCTCGCGATGAGACTGGATCAACTTTTTCCATTCCTCGGTCATGGTGATTGCTTCCCGTCGACGTACATTTTTCTTCGTTAACTTTCTCCTCCATTAGGCTGTCAGGCAGCCTCTTGTATGGACGGCCTCCCCCCACAGTAAACATGTCAACGTTGTATCAACGTTAGAATGTGGGTTGGAACCATTGCACCAACCTTGGCTTAGCGTTGGTTCGACGTTCCATGTTTACTGGTTCTATTTCTTGCTCCTGCCACATGGCAGTGCAAGATCATCATCATCAGCAGCATCCGTGATAAATCCACTGCCGATCCCTGGCTTAGATCTCCCGCGAAGCTTATAGGGCCACAACCATAGACCCAATCCACACACAAACCATAGCAGATGCTTGATGCGCAAATGGAAAATTGAAAACTCTCCGGCCAGAGTGCCGCTGTGGTCACCCAGAACACAACCGTGGAACATGGAACGACTCAATGCCCGATTCACAAATACGAAGGAGGCATCGTGACAGCGGTGATTCAACCCCTCCGCTGCTCCTGATGCAATTATCTCGCGCAACCAGCTGAGTGCACACGTATCGCTATTGCTCCGCATCAAAGGCCTCCAAACATTTTCTTCCGTTTATGAAGTCGCTCCTCTCCGGCACGTGACCTCCGACCTCTGGGAGCTCGTCTCGCCCTGCTGTCTTCCCCCCGCTTCCTTCTTGAGCCGTCTCCGCTCCGCGTGACCGCCGAGTCATCGCCTCGGCGACGTGAACTCCTCTCGAGGGCCCGCCTCTTGCTCGGATGAGGTAGCTTGTGCGATGCGGGCGTCTCGGCCACGCAGTTTGCCAAACGACGGCACGACCCGCTGCGGCGTTCCTCGCCAAAGCCTTCAGAGCTGGCGCCGTTGGGCTGAACCTCGGCCTCCCATTGGCTGTCGTACGACAGAGTCCACAACGCTTTCACCATTTCCTGCGCGCTTGTTGTGAAGCCAAGAAAAAAAAACAACATCTGAAATTGAAGCATGTTTCGCCAAATTGGAACCTTTTTTTCTTTTTTAACGGCCGCGAATTCACACTGCTGGCCTCACGTCGGGGGCTTGGGGCCTCACCACGTATTCATAAATATTCTGATTCTGATGTTTTCGGGAAAATCGGTCGCTTCGCGCGACACAGCCGTCGGTTGCGTGTGTGCGAGCGTGTGGACTCGAGGCCGTGGCGTTCAGGCGCTGCCGAGCGGCAGTCTTGCGGAATGAAGTAATCGTCGCTATTCGAGTGTCAAACCGCACAGCAGCTGTTCCTTGCGAGCTCCAGGGTTGTGACCAGAAGCTAGCGCCACCCCGGCGTCTAGTTTTTTTTTTCCTCCCTCCCTTCGTTCAAACAAAAACATTTTTTTGCATTTGGCTGAAAATGGTTTTCTCCAGCGGAACTTCCAATTGCCCCGCGTCGG